ATTTTAGTGGAGCGAGGAGCGGTGTTGAGCGGAGCGGCGTAGTGCGAATTAGAGCGGAGGAGCGGCGGAGCCAACAGCCTTGTGAGCGAAGAGTGGGAATTCTCACTCTCATTCCGCTCACATGCTCTGGTGTGGATTATATTTATATTACATTGTCGGATTCAAACCTGTTATTTTGACATTGTGGGGACCATTTCTCAGGTCCCCACGAAGATTACCGAATGCTATCAAAAAACTAAAAATACCGAAAAATCTCATATTTTGTTTGGTTACTTATGCTTAAGGTTAGGGCTGGGTAGGGGTTAAGGTCGTCATGTTGGGATTAGAGTTTTCCCCATAGAAATGCATGGTAAAACCCCCACAAAGACATAATTACAAACCTCTGTGTGTGTGTATGCATTTTCATATAGGTACATATACACACATACATACAGAATAATTGTTTATTCTATTATTGTTTCTTTTTTTCATAACATATACACATTAGGTTATACTTAAAATTGGCAGCATTTTGTTCACCCTTGAAAATTTTTGGGAAGGTCCTTGTAAAATCATTAAGATAGCTGTCTCCTCAGTGACCATACAAATGAAACCATCTTGCTCAATCAGGAGTTAACTGGAATCAATCAGCAGCAATCAAGATTTATTCGAGCTCCTCTGAGACACACTGTTTCCATGGCATCCATATTAGGCTGCCAATAGCCATCCTCTTTGTTTGCCATCTGCAGCACTCAGACAGTGCTGGCTCCTGTCAAACTAAAATGGCCTCTCCTTCCATCTGTGCAATTGTTCACCAGTCGCACATGCCTCATATGCTCAAACTTGGAATTTTTAAAGATATACGTAACTTTAAAATGGGTGGCGGGGGGGTATCAATTGGAATTTTTTTTCTTTTTGTGAAAAGGTTACTTTTGGGATTCACAGAGCTGTGGAGTAAATTAAGAAGAACAAAAATATGTTCTTCAACCAACTCAATATGTCAGCAAAAATATATGTTGCTGCCTGCCTCCACTTGAGCTATGATTCCCTATGGTTGTATAAAGACAAAAATGTATTTCTTGATAAAGAAAGAGGTCTTTCAAAGCATTAATGTACCATACTCCTGAAATATGTGAAAAATGCCCATACCAATTAACAAGGCAGGGAATCGGGGAGACCAGTGTGTAGGACAAAAGCCACACAATGTCTTTGTAGGTCTTTATAAATATCTGTGGCTGGCTCAGTGCTAACTAGGCCATGTGCAGAGCATGATGGGTCAAGCCGCCTTACTCATTGGGGAGGCTCAGGGAGACAGACTGACCTGCATTTTCTCTCCATTACAGCCCTGATTGGGGCGTTTAGGAAGCACCACCATCCAATCCGGAAGGCAGTGTGCCAGCAGCCTGCTGCAAGCACCTTTTGCTCTCTCTTCCTATTTTGCGTATTCTTGTGCCATTTTTCCATATTTTCCCCAAGCTTCCGCTGGTCTTTCTTTCTCAAAATATACAGAATAATTGTCTTTTATAGTGAACATCTCTGGGTACTTTCTGAATATTCAGATTTATGTGTTGTTTGTAGATGCAGACGACTCGTCGTCCTTTGTGACTGGAATCATTCTCTACAGGAACTTGGGTAGCATCCTGTCCCTGCAGAGGTAAGACCTGGCTTTTCACCCCTCTCTCAGCAGGTATTGGCTTTCCTCTTATTGCTGCCAGAGATTTTTGGCCGATTCCCGTTTTGCAATATGTCCTTGCCACAGTGTGAAATGGCACAATGCAGCATGCACAGAAAACAAGAGAAAAGGCACCAGAAGCCAGATTTGCAGGCCCAGATGTTTTTACGCAGACAATTTGTGAGCATTGTTTGGTGGTTCAGTTGGTAAACTTCCAAAAATATGTATAGTGTTCATTATGGTATGGTACCAGATTTGAGATATTGAAGACGCATTTAGTATACACATGCATTGTTAAACAGGAACATGCATCAGATGTGAACAGCTTTTTCTGCCTCCACTATATACAGTGTGTTTTGCATTTTTATTGGAAATGTGCTTATCACAGTCTTCTTTTGATGCATTTGTAGGTAAATAATAATGTAAAAAATGTTGGTGATGAACATTGTTTATGGCTGACCTGAGGACAGCTTTACATTGCCAAACTGCATGCAGAAGCAGTGACAGTCTGTGAGCTGTGTGTTTAACAGGCTTCAGACGGATCTGTCACATGACTTTTATGTTCAGGCTGTCTTTTTTAGCCAGTCTTCTTCCCTAACCATTAGGGTATATGTCTTTTCTCTGCTTGTAGAAATAGTTCGGTGCTTAACTCAAACGTTATCTCAGTGACCATCAAGCCCACCCCTAGCTCTCTAGCTCTCAGGTCAGCCCTTGTTGAGATTGAGTTCTTCCATCTCTACAACGTGAGTATCCCTGAACCCTGCTATGCTCGCCATACTGCCATAGTCAAACACAAGACAGTCAGACTTTTGAATGTTAGCTTGTGCTCTGTGTATGTTATCTGGGGACCCTGCAGAAGCTCTTGTGACACAGCATACTGTGTCTTAGCTGTTACTAAAAGGCATTAAGGGTTTTTTACTGCATTAAGGGTAATAAATAGGTTGCTGTAAGCCTATTTTAATTTGTACTTTGGTTCAAATGCATAGAATAAAGTATAAAATCTAAAAATGTTTAGGATTAAACTGTATTTCATCCATAAAAATATATGGGAAAAATTCATGGCATATAATTTAAATGCAGAGAAGAGGCAGTGACTTAAGCCAAAAAATTATGTACAATGCTTACAGCTTCACGATTGCTTGACAACTGCATTGTTACCATTTAAACACACTAACAGATCAACAAATCTCAGGAAACACATGCCATCCACTCACCACTGAATAATAACAGCTTTCCGAGCTCGATTTCAACAGAGGCAGCACAGTGTACCTACATAAAGCAAACTACCTTTTTGAAATACTGTGGGAAAGTGTGTCCACCACACACCACAATCATGTAGCTTGCGCTCACCCTGACAAACGATCCAGTGGTTTTGGGAGAATTTGAAATTATATGCTATAATGTGACATCGCTGTTAGCAAATCCTGCTGGGCTGAATTAATTATTAGTTTTTTAAAATGAAAAAAAAATTCACGAAACAAAAATTATGCCTTAATCGTCACTGGGGGGGTGTGGGTAGTCCATCTGAGAGGGCGATGCCCCCTTATGCATCTTGTATCTCGTATTTGTTCAAAACGGGACAGGCAGCATCTGTAAGTCTAAAATTAGTTCAAATTAGTTGGGGGTCCATTTCAGCAAAGGTCCCTGGGCTTTAACTCAGCTAAGCCCGTGGATTAATGCACCCCTGTGCTCATCTGTTACATTTTGCAAACCCAAAAACCTCAGTCAATCAAAATAGCTGTTAGCACCAATTCAGTGCTGTTTTACTTCTCTCTCTTTCTCCTGCACAGAATACCACAAACCAGACCTGCATTTCCTGGGATGAGAGTGACATGTAAGAGGCTTTCTTGCTCTGCTTTAACTATTTAAATCCTGTTGAACATTTGTAGTTGCATTTTGTTCCTGTTTAGGATCACTGTAAACGTGTTGATTGCATGTATGGAAGTACGGGAGGAAAAATATTCAGTAGTGGGTTGGTGCCCTTTGTGGTTGCGAGTTACCTTTGGTGTGAAGGACATGTGTTCAGGATCACATCAAGTAGTACAATTATAAAGTGGCTAATGATTCTTTTATGTAGTTGTCATATTCATTTTCTTACATGTTTATCTTTATATTATGGAATTATTGTTGTCTCTCTAATTATTAACTCTTATGCTGTTTAGTTAGCTGTCTCAAAGATTTATTTGACTTTGAAAAGTGTAGCACTGGTGTAAACACTGTAAAAGGATCTATCTATCTATCTATCTATCTATCTATCTATCTATTTATATAGATATAGATATATAGATCCTTTTTTACACAAACACACAAACACACACACACACACATATATATATAGTCGGGTGTCCTTTTCAGCAAAAGTATATACATATTATATAAATTATATATAAATTATATATATTGTGCATTGACATTCATTACTTCATTACCCCTTGAAGTCACTGCAGGAGCTTAGCTTTCGGATTCACCTTGCTCAAGAGTGACTGCATGTGCAAAAAGGGGAAAAAGTCAGTTGTGTGCATTTGAATAAAATAAAAGAAAATACCCTGAATGTGAACCATCTTAATGGAACTGGCTTCCCATGTCCTGAGCCCTTTCATTAAAACTGTTATGTACCCTGTTTTTAAAACAAAACACACACTCAGACAGCAGGAAAGTGATGTTCTGCCCGCAGCTACCTCATTCCCTCTTCTTACAGGCAAGAACAACATTTGCATTTAGATAGATGCATACACTTCTGTTTCTGAGATGAGATGTGAATTGCA